TTAAAAACAACACATGTTGACCAAAGTGCTTTACATTCTCAACATTACCACAAAAAACAAGCACAAATTAAGAACACACCCAATACAGTACACTACTCAGACTCCTCCCCTAAGGACAGTTGTAGGCAATAGAGTAGAGATGCATTTTCAACAATGATTTAAAACATGCCAACGAGTTGCAGGATCTAATATGAGGTGGGAGGCTATTCCAGAGACGTGGAGCTGCGACAGAGAAGGCAAGATCACCTTTAGTCTTTAATCTTGATTTCGGGACATTCAGAATGAGACTCTGAGACGATCTTAGCGGTCTAACAGTACAGTGCCATTGTAACAGGCTAGAGATATACTCAGGGGCAAGACCATGTAACCCTTTAAAAACCATTAGCAAGACCTTATATTGCACTCTAAAATCCACAGGCAGCCAGTGCAGAGAGGCCAGCACCGGAGATATACTAGAGCATTTCCTCGTGCCAGTCAACAGTCTGGCCGCTGCATTTTGCACTAATTGCAGCCGAGCAAGCAGATTCTTGGAGAGCCCCAGATATAAAGAATTGCAATAATCCAGTCTGGATGAAATAAAAGCATGAATCACAGTCTCCAAATCTTTAAAATTCAAGAAACTCTTCAATTTGGCAGTGCCCCTCAGTTGAAAGAAACTACCTTTAACCACAGCATTGATTTGTCTATCAAATTTCAGCTCTGAATCAAAAATCACCCCAAGGTTCTTGGCTTGCGTGCTGACATTGGTGGCTAAGGGGCCAAGGTGAAGTGCAAGCTTTTCAGCTACGTTCGAAGGACCAAAGATCACCGCCTCCGATTTAGACTCATTTAGCTGCAAAAAACTAGATGCCATCCAGATCTTTACTTCATCCAGACAATCGAGCAACGAAGTGAGTTTGGAGTCATCATCACATTTCAAAGGAAGATACAGCTGGGTGTCATCTGCATAACAGTGATACGTCACATTATGTTTATGACAGATTAATCCCAGTGGGAGCATATATAAGGAAAACAGGACAGAGCCAAGACAAGAATCCTGAGGAACCCTAGATAAAACAGGCTGAGAGGATGATATAGAATTCCCTAGTTCCACAGCAAAAGTTCTTTCATGTAAGTAGGAAGAGAACCACTTCAGAGCATTCCCCCTAATGCCCACCAACTGATTCAAATGGTCAAGAAGAATCCTGTGATCCACTGTATCAAATGCTGTGCTTAGATCAAGAAGCACCAAAACAACACAATTCCCAGCATCTACAAACATCAGCAAATCATTGGTTACTTTAATAAGGGCAGTTTCGGTGCTGTGCCGAGACCTAAAGCCAGATTGAAATTGATCAAAGATTTTGTTTTCATTTAAAAATGTTGAAAG